AAAGAAGAAGAAGAAGAGATTGGATTTATACCCCGCCCTTCACTACCCAAAGGTGTCTCAGAGCGGCTTACAAACTCCTTCCCCTCCCCCTCCCCACAACAGACACCCTGTCAGGTAGGTGGGGCTGAGAGAGCTCTTGACAGAAACGGCTCTTTTTCAAGAGCAGCTCTTATCAGAACCATGGCTTGCCCAAGGCTGTCCATCCAGGTGCAAGCGGAGGAGTGGGGAATCAAACCCGGTTCTCCCAGATTAGAGTCCGCGCACTTAACCACTACACCAAACTGGCTCTGGTATCTGCACATGCCAATAAAGGTGACTGACTGAGTGACATTAAGAATGTAAGAAGGGCCCGCCGGATTAGGCCAGTGGTCCACTCAGTGCTGCTCCGGAGGAAGGGGTATCATTGGGGACCCCTGCACTAGCAACTCTGTCTCCAACTGCTGCAGTTTTACAAAGGAACGGCCCCTGTCCTGGACGTTTCGACAAGAGGGATCAAAATCCCAACTTTACCTCGGCCGATCCGGTCACGTTCAGATCCGCCGCCGACAGCTGCCTTTTCTTTTGCACTAGGATGGGTTTCCGCCTCTTCCTGCGCCTCGCCAGCTGGCTGTGTTTCCTCTCCAAGCTGCGGCTGTCAGTCTCCCCAAACGGAGGCTTCGCAACTTTCCTCCTCTTCCCGTAATAATAAGCTGGAACAAAATGTGAGCAGGAGACCCCCAACGTCACACCAAATCATCCAACAGCCTGCGTTTAGCAGCACGGTCACATTTCTTTAAAAAGATCACATTATTGTGGCCCCCTCCTAAAGTGCTGATTTGGGCTAAGCAACGGATGAGGTCCTATTTTATGTTGTCGAAGGCTTTCCCGGCCGGAGTTCATTAGCTGTTGTAGGTTTTCCGGGCTGTATGGCTGTGGTCTTGGCATTGTAGGACCTGGCGTTTCGCCAGCAGCTGTGACTGGCATCCTCAGAGGTATCACACAGAAAGATGGAGTACTCTCTGTGTGAACACAGGAAATTCACAAACACCTCCCCCTCCAGACCTCCAGTGACCACTGTTCCACGCCCAGAAGATGACCACTTTGACACAGAGAGTACTCCATGGAGTGTGGAGGCTACCTTAAAATCTGATGATCAAATGAAGTGAAAGCAGCATGCAGCACAGAGGGGAATTTCTATTCCTTGTGGTTCAGGAAAAGTAGAGGCAATGGAGCACATATTATTGCACTGTTTGTACTATAAAGAAATTCGGGGAAAGTTTCTTCAACCCATATTAGGGAAGTTCCTTGGCTACCCAGATGCGGAGATAAGCAAGACATTTCTATCGGATTCCAATCCTCCACTCTCTCTCATTTGTGTGCTAGGTTTCTGGCAACAGCTTATAGAATTCGTAAGGATCAAGTAAAGAACTGAAGCAGACAAAATAGGAAGCACATTGGATGGATTTCATTTTATTTGTCTATAATGTAATTTATAGGTGTTTATATGTAGTTCAGGAGCTGCGGTGGCTCAAGTGGTTAAGACGCTGAACTGCAGGCTGCGGAAGGTCGGTAGTTCAGCAGTTCGAGACCCGGGTGCGGCAAGACGGGGTGAGCTCCCTTCTCTAGTTCCAGCTCCTGCCAAACTAGCAGTGCGAAAGCAAGAAATTGCAAGTAGATAAATAGGTACCACTTCGGTGGGGAGGTAACAGCGTTCCGTGCGCCTTGGTGTTTAGTCATGCCGGCCACATGACCACGGAAATGTCTTCGGACAGCGCTGGCTCTTCGCCTTTGAAACAGAGATGAGCACCGCAACCGTAGAGTCGGATTCGACTGGCTTTCGAGCAAGGGAACCTTTACCTTTACTATATGGAGTTCAACCAAAGGATCCCAGATAAGACTGCTATAAGTGCAGACTGGTTTATAAATGTTTTACGAATGAACCCTAGAGATTTTAAACTGTTTTGACTGAATTGTGCTGGTTATGCACCGAATAAAAACTGACTGCCTATTCCAACATGGGTTTCGTAAAACAACGGAGGGAAAAGACGATGCAGAATCAGCCAAAATGTCCCGACTGGCCTACAGGAACCCGGACAGTTGACAATCTTCTATAAGCAGATGCCTGTGCTTTGGTCCCACTTGTACTCACTGTATTTTGTTTTTGTATGGACGGAGCAGTTTTCCGGGCAGCCGTCCGTCACTGGCACAGGGCTGAATAAATTCGGACAACATTCCAGCTTGGTGCAGACCTTCCGGCAGAAATCCAGGACTTGGTCCGATGTGCGGACAATCTTGACTGTCGCCCTGTAGGTTTTCCCTCGGTATCTGTCGGTGCAAGTCACAACCCGGTCAGCATGACTCAATCAAGAACTTAGTAGATTTCTAACCTGAAATACTACTGTTGGGACTTAAAATGGAAGAAGTTAATGTGGGGAAAAGGACTTTGATGTGGTATATGATTACAACAGCTAGAATGACTTATGCTCAATGCTGGAAGCAAGACAGAGTTCCGGAAATCGGGGACTGGATAAAGAAATTACTATTTATGGTTGAAATGGACAAAATGACAAGGAAACTTAAGAATCTTGAAGCAGAAGAATTCTATGCAGACTGGAAAGACTTTAAAGATTACTTAGAGAAATATTGGGATGTAAAGGACAATTTAATTTGCTTTGACAGTTATTGAAAAGCGAGTGTTACTAAAAGAAAATTAGTTAGAAGTGAATGATGAGTGAAAGAAATGTTACTGGTATACTATGATGAAAGGATTAGGGAAAATTAGAAGTAAATTAAAGAATTGGGCTGGAGGTTGGAGCACTGTGGGAAGCTAAGGGGGGGAGAAAAATAGAAGTAAGGATGTATAATGACTAATATTACAATTTGTATCTGACTTAATAATATATCCTAATGAAGTGTTTTTGAAAAGAAAAAAAAAGGACTTAGTAGATTTCTTTTTTTTAAATGTACTCCTCCTGGGAAGACGAGCTGGTTTTTATACCCTGCTTTTCTCCTACCTTAAGAAGCCTCAAAGCGGCTTACAATCGCCTTGCCTTCCTCTCCCCACAACAGGCACCTTTGTAAGGAGATAGGTGGGGCTGAGAGAGCTCGGAGAGAACTGCTCTTGAGAGGTCAGCTCGGAGAGAACTGGGACTGACCCAAGGTCACCCAGCAGGCTTCAGGTAGAGAAGGAGTGGGGAATCAACCCCGGTTCTCCAGATTAGAGTCTGCTGCTGTTAACCACTACACCACGCTGCCTCTCCCCACAACAGGCACCTTATGACGTACCATGGGGTTGAGAGTGTACTGACAAGGACTGTGACTGCCCCGTGGGCACCCAGCAGGCTTTATGTGGAAGAAGAAGAGCTGGATTTTATACCCTGCTTCGGGGTGACGTAGGCACGTCACTTATTTCTGACTTCTTCCTTCCCCGCGGGGGTAATTGGGGGGCGGAGCGCCTGAAACTGGGGGATCCCCCGCCCTACTGGGGGACCTGGCAACCCTTGTCCCACTGCCTAAATGCATCCTGGAAGGTACCCAGAACAACACTGGAGAAGACAGTCAATTGCAGGTAAGGTTTGCTTACACATATTTCTCTACCGTTCCTGGTCTTTATTACGATCCTTTGATAAGCCCGTCAAAGAATCTTAGGATTTTCCGGGAACCATTTATATGTGGACCCGAACAAGAGATTAGAGAGATAGACTCTGAACGTATACATTACAATGGTAATTAGAAAACGTGTTTACAAAGGAATGATGTATGTTTATTTGTAAAACTGGATCTAAGTGGTTTAAATTGTTAGTTGATTCTCTGTGCTCTACTGTTTCCCGGATGTCGTAACAACCCACACCTTGTCCCACATCCCTACCCTACCCCTTCTTAAGGAAATCAATAATAAAAATCTTAAATGAAAAACAACAGCAACGAAGAATTTTAGGATTTTCCAGAACATAGTTTGGAAGCACCCTCTACTCCCCCTTCTAATTTTCAACAACCTGCTTGGGCAGACGCCCAATAAAATATCTAAAACGCCACTGAACCGAATGGCATCAGCTCAGACGTTCCCATTATTAATAGCGTAATTGCCGTTCCAACAAGCCTTTCATTTCGCCAGCTATCTTTTAAGTAATAAAAAGACACCGGGCCCTATTAGCCGGGAGCACGGTGCAGACTTTAAAGTTCAGCGGGCTCCGTGTCAACTGTAGCATTAACAAGATTCCTCGGTGGAAAATGGATTTCGCTTTTCCAATTAAACATATTACAAGCGAGGCTAAAGGGAACGGAGATCAAAGATCGCCGGCGTAATGACCCATATAAGGGAACTTTGAAGGGGGGGGGGAAATAACACGCTGATATAATCCAAGAATACGGAGAAGTCTTGCTTTGAACAGCGGGTTTACTATCTGACCTTCTTTATTCCATGCCAGGGCTATTTTTGGGCAGGAACGCACAGGAACGGAGTCCCGGCTGGCTCCTGAGTTGGCCACGCCCACCAGGAACGCATTAGCATAATAGGCCACACCTAACAGCAGAAACGAATTAGGACTGGCTACATTAGGGGTGTGTGGCCTAACACGCAAAGGAGTTCCTGCTACAAAAAAAGCCCTGAGTTTTGACAACAAAGCAAACAGAATAAGAAGCAAAAGGTGGGTGTGGCTGGATGAGCACGCTTCTGATAACATGGGGGTGTGGCCTAATATGCTAATAAGATACGGTGTCAGGGGTGTTGCCTAATATGCTAATGAGTTTCTGCTGTTGGGTGTGGCCTATTATGCTAATGAGTTCCTGCTGGGCTTTTTCTACAAAAAAAGCCCTGTCCATGCCCATGTCTCACAGTGATGCCAACAAGTCACAGCCAACTTACGGCAACCCTGTAGGGTTTTCAAGGCAAGAGACATTCAGAGGTGGTTTGCCATTGCCTGCCTCTGTGTCACAACCCTGGTATTCCTTGGTCTCCCATCCAAGTCCTAACCAGGGCTGACCCTGCTTAGCTTCGAAGATCTGACAAGATTCGGCTACCCTGGGCCATCCAGGTCAGGGTGAACAGTCAATACCCTACACCTATGGAAGTTACAGTTATCATTGGCTATTGGTGGTGGGAAATGGCCCTCAAGCTGACTTCAAGGCAAGAGATGTTCAGAGGTGGTTTGCCATTGCCTGCTGCCGTGTCATGACCCTACATAAGAACGTAAGAGAAGCCAATGGTGGATCAGGCCAGTGGTCCACCCAGTCCAACACTCTGTATCACACAGTGGCCAGAAACACCAGGGGCCATCAGGAGCTCCAGCAGTGGGGGCAGGACACCAGAAGCCCTCCCACTGTTGCCCTCCCACCCAAGCACCAAGAAGACAGAGCATCCCTTGCCCCAGACAGAGTGTTGCATCTATACCTTGTGGCTAATAGCCACTGATGGACCTCTGCTCCGTATGCTTTATCCAATTCCCTGGCCTTCTTTGGTGGTCTCCCATCTGAGTATCAACCAGGGCTGACCATGCTTAGCCTCAGAGATCTGATGAGATCCAGGCTAGCCAGGGCCGTGCAGGTCAGGGTGGGCAGTGGTGTGATGTAGAAGAAGGAGGAGGAGGAGGAGGAGAAGGAAGAGGAGATTGGATTTATACCCCGCCCTTCACTACACGAAGGAGTCTCAGAGCGGCTTACAGACTCCTCTCCCTTCCCCTCCCCACAACAGACACCCTGTGAGGTAAAAGAAGAAGAAGAGATTGGATTTATAACCCGCCCTTCACTACCCAAAGGAGTCTCAGAACGGCTGACAAATTCCTTTCCCTTCCCCTCCCCACCACAAGAAGAAGAAGAGATTGGATTTAGACCCCACCCTTCACTACCCAAAGGAGTCTCAGAGCGGCTTACAAACTCCTCTCCCTTCCCCTCCCCACAACAGACACCCTGTGAGGTAGGTGAGGCTGAGAGAGCTCTGACAGAAACTGCTCTTTTTTCAAGAACAGCTGAGCCAGAACTACGGCTTGCCCAAGGTCATCCAGTAGGTGCAAGTGGAGGAGTGGGGGAATCGAACCCGGTTCTCCCAGATTTCAGGCCGCGCACTTAACCACTACACCAAACATGTAGTGGTTAAAGTTTTGTTCTAGGCCTGGGGAGATGGTCAAAAGGGCTGTCAAGTCACAGCTGACTTAAGACCACCCCGCCGGGTTTCTGAGGCAAGAGACGAACAGAGGTGGTTTGCCACTGACTGCGTCTGCACAGTGACCCTGGACTTTCCTGGGCAGTCTGCCATTCAAACACTAACTAGGGCTGACCCTGCATAGCTTCCGGGTTTAGCTGGCGCCCCCCCAGGCCCCCTTACAAAAAAAAAACCCTTGCTGTGGTGCTGCGGGCCGTCAGGGTGCAAGTCTCCTACCAGGTACATTTTTGTGTGGAACCACCAACGCACGCTACCACTTCCCGTGGTAGTGAATTCCACACGTTAATAAAGCCAGACAATAACGAAATGGTTCAGAAAGGTGTATGGTAATGGCACGGGGACTGCAGACTGTGTTAGTATGTATGGTATGTACTATCTGTTGTTGTACGGCTTTGTAGCCAGCCCAGCCACTGCACACCACGTCTCTTCCGGGCCCAGGAGAAAGCTGAAAGTGGAGGTCAAGCTGCTCCTGCTGTGGCGACGTGGGAAGGGGCACTAGAGCTCCTTGGGGAGGGAGGGAGCTCCTCGGGAAGGGCTGCCCTGGCTGGGGGGGAGGGAGCTCCCCCCCAATTTATTTAGCTGGCGCCCCCCCCAGGCCCTCTTACAAAAAAAACACACCCTTGCTGTGGTGCTGCGGGCCGTCAGGGTGCAAGTCTCCTACCAGGTACATTTTTGTGTGGAACCACCGACGCAAGCTACCACTTCCTGTGGTAGTGAATTCCACACGTTAATAAAGCCAGACAATAACGAAAATGGCTCAGAAAGGTGTATGGTAATGGCATGGGGACTGCAGTGCAGACTGTGCTACTATGTATGGTATGTACTATCTATTGTTGTACATATGATCTGCTAGGTAACTTTGGCACGGCTGGCAACCCTAGCCTAGTAGTTAGCGGCTTGATACCTCCCAACCAATGCTCCCACTAAGCTGTGGAGTCTTGTGAGCAAAAATGTCCTCTTTCTGAGCTACCGGCATTAAAGTTGTGAGCGAGCAATTGGGCTGCTGCGTAAATCAGTTTGCTCTGGAGCCCTCCTTCCTGAGCTAGGACAAAAGTCCGTGAGCCGGAGGCTAAAAAAACTGTGAGCTGGCTCACACTAACTCAGCTTAGAGGGAACACTGGTCCCAACACCACCCGGAAGGTTTACATCTGAGCATCCCTACCAAGGTGACTTTTACTCTGGTTTTTTATATGAAATTTGAACTTTTTTAAATCTTAAAATTTAACTGTTGAATTCTATGCGTTCTTTTGCGGTCACAATATTCTGTATGACCTCGTAAGCTGGCCTGAGACCGATCGCAGGGAGGGTGGGATATAAATCAAATCAAATCAATCAGTCAATCAATCAATGGTTTAGCATGTCATGTTAATTCTTATTTGTTTTGGCTGTTTTCGAATTTCTGCATCCCTTAATCCTATTTCATTGCTTACTGAATGCCCACCCCATTGACTGTAACGACTTACTCCGTGTAATCCACCTTGACTCTCAGTGAGAAAGGAGGACTTGAAATAATGTACATTAAACTAAATAAATAAATATTGCCCCGGTCAGAATACGTTATGCAGAGGGGGAAAAAAAAGCTTAGAGGGAACACTGGTCCCAACACCACCCGGAAGGTTTACATCTGAGCATCCCTACCAAGGTGACTTTTACTCTGGTTTTTTATATGAAATTTAAACTTTTTTAAATCTTAAAATTTAATTGTTGAATTTTATGCGTTCTTTTGCAGTCACAATATTCTGTGTGACCTCGTCAGCTGGCCTGAGACCGATCGCAGGGAGGGTGGGATATAAATCAAATCAAATCAATCAGTCAATCAATCAATGGTTTAGCATGTCATGTTAATTCTTATTTGTTTTGGCTGTTTTCGAATTTCTGCATCCCTTAATCCTATTTCATTGCTTACTGAATGCCCACCCCATTGACTGTAACGACTTACTCCGTGTAATCCACCTTGACTCTCAGTGAGACAGGAGGACTTGAAATAATGTACATTAAAATAAATAAATAAATATTGACCCGGTCAGAATACGTTCTGCAGAGGGGGGGGAAACCCGACATGCCATCTTGAAAGGTTCTATAAATTCTGCACCATGTGAGCATAAAATGGCATGATTTGTTCTTCAGTGATGAGCGGCTGTGTTTCTGCTACGGCAGAGAAGAGACTGGACCCTTCCGGCCAAGGGGAAAGTTACTGGAAGGGTGTATTTGCTTTCTTTAAGATCTAGGAATCCCAGCCGTCACATGTGGACATAGGTACCCGTGGAAATCTCCAACAGAGCTGAAACAGACCATGAATTTCTAAACATGTTACTGAGTGGTGTAGAAATTAACATGAGGGAGAGATGATGGGGGCGGGGGGTTGGAGCATCTTCCCTAAGTGTCGGGCACTTTTCAGTTTAGAAAAGAGCTGATTAAGGGGGGATAGACTTATTTATTTGATTCATTTTCGATTCTGCCCTTCCTGCGAATGGACTCGGGGCCCACTACAAGGCACACAATTTGTGATGACAGTCACATATCAGGTCGGTAATTAAACACAACATTTTAAAACAATACTAAAAACAACTATCACTGCAAAAGTCTCGATTGCTATGCTCAGTTTAGACATTGATAGAGGTTTATAACATTATGCATGGGGTGGAGAGAGTTGAGAAAGAGGAAATTCTCTCCCTCTCCCCAAAGATTAAAACTTGATGGCATCCAATGAAGCTGATGGGCAGTCGGTTCAGGACGGACAAAAGGAAAGATTACTTTACACAGAGACTGATTAAAATGGGGAATTCGCTGCCAGGGGGATGTCATGATGGCCGCAGGAAGAAACATCTATAAATCGAGTTTAGATCAATGGCTACGAGCCATGGTGGCTGAGAGGAACCTCCACATTCAGAGGCACTGAATCCTCTGAATCCCAGAGCCAGGGGGCAACATCAAGGGAAGGCCTTGGTCTCGATGCCCTGTTGTTGGCTCTCCAGAGGAACTCGTTGGCTGCTGTGTGAAGCAGGATGCTGGACTAGATGGCCCACTGGTCTGATCCAGCAGGTTCAATCCCCGATATCTCCAGTTAAGGATCTAGTCCTAGGAGATATGAAACGCCTCAGCTTGAAAGCAGCTGCCAGTCTAGGTAGACAGCACTGACTCTGATAGAACAACGGTTCTATTTAGAGCTGGTGCGACCTCATTTGGAATACTGTGTGCAGTTCTGGTCACCACACCTTAAAAAGGATATTATAGCTTTGGAAAAAGTGCAGAAAAGGGCAACTCGAATGATAAAGGGGTTGGAACACTTTCCCTATGAGGAAAGGTTAAAGCGCTTAGGGCTCTTTAGCTTGGAGAAAAGACGACTGAGGGGTGACATGATCGAGGTTTACAAGACTATGCATGGGAAAGAACAGGTAGAGAAAGAGGTACTTTTCTCCCTTTCTCACAATACAAGAACTCGTGGGCACTCCATGAAATTGCTGAGCGGTCGGGTTAGAACGGATAAAAGGAAGTACTTATTCACCCAAAGAGTGATTAACACTTGGAATTCACTGCCACAGGAAGTGGCGGCGGCTACAAGCATGGACGGCTTCAAAAGGGAATAAGATAAGCATATGGAGCAGAGGTCCATCAGTGGCTATTAGCCACAAGGTATAGATAGGGGCTCTGGGGCAAGTGATGCTCTGACATCTTGGTGCTTGGGGGGGGTCAACAGTGGGAGGGCTTCTAATGTCCTGGCCCCACTGCTGGACCTCCTGATGGCACTGGTATTTCTGGCCACTGTGTGATACAGAGTGTTGGACTGGATGGCCTGATCCAACATTGGCATCTCTTATGTTCTTATGTAATGGTCTGATTCAATACAAGGCAGCTCTTCACATGTTCACGAGCCCTCGAATGAAGCCCTTACTTTGCTTTGAGCGTCTCCTCCTGGAAGTTCCACCTGGGGTCTTCCACCAGCTGCAGCTCCCGCAAGACACTCCCGGGTTTGTAAGCCGAGTTGATGACCATGCTGAGGACCTGTGGAAAGATGGCAAAGAAAAACGGTACCTGTTTGAGAGGGGATGTAGGGTTGCCGGCTCCGGGTTGGGGAATACCTAGAGATTTGGGGGGTGGAGCCTGAGGAGGGCGAGGTTTGGGGGAGAGGAGGGACTTCAGTGGATATAATGCCACAGAGTCCATCTTCCACAGTGGCCTTTTTCTCCAAGGGAACTGATCTCTGTCACCTGGAGACCAGTTGTTATTCCGGGAGATCTCCAGCTGCTACCTGGAGATGGAGGAATTCCAAAAACGACATCCGTGACAAAAATAACGAAGAGTCAATAAAGATGAGTTGCTCACTGTAGTAATTTCTGTAGAAAATCTTCTTCTATCATCGCTCACACGCAAATGAATACTGCGCAAGGAACAATTCGTTTCACAATATTTGCTTTAGCTGAACATGTAGCAATCCCAGCCTATCAACTCCTGAAGGAAACATTCTATGTTGACTCTCTAATAACAGAGAGTCTAATAATTGGAGAGCCAATATGGGATGTTTCCTTCAGGAGTTGATAAGCTGTGATTGATACGACCATACATGACTACTGGAAATATCATTGCTATACGCTCAGATAGAGCAAATATTGTGAAACGAATTGTTCATTGCGCAGTATTCGTGTGAGTGATAATAGAAGGACATTTTCTACGGAAATTACTACAGCAAACCATTCTGCAACTTACCTTTATTGACTCTTCGCTATTTTTCGCACAGATGTTGCTTTTGGAATTCCACTTCCTCCCGTGATCTCTCATTTTTGGCTACCACCTGGAGGTTGGGAAACCTAGTGGGATGGTGTCCCATCTCCATGGGGTCCTCCGGTTTGCGTTCTGGAGCAATAAAAGGTCCACTGCCAGTAAGATCTTTCAGGAAGCCACATTCTTTCCTTGGCACCCTAGTCAACAACCCCAGGATGGTTCCATTGGCTGTTACGAAGGGAAGGGCTTTCTCGGGGATGGCCCCTTACCCGGTGGAATGCGCTCTTGGATGACACCCGTGCCCTGCAGGACTTTCTCAGTTTTCACAGGGCTTGTAAGGCTGAATTGCTCAGGCTGGCTTTTGGAGGTTAACCAGATGTTCGGGGCTTGGTTTGATGGTGCTGAGATACATTTTAATATCATACATGTATTATTTGATTTTGTTGGTTTTTAACTTAAATCTATTATGATGTTGTTTTTTAAGTATTGTAAGTCGCTGCAAGACCCTTTGGGAGATCAGAGACGGGAAAAAAAGTCTAATAAACGAGCCAACAAACAAATAAAATAAATGAATAGAAAGAATAAATAAACTTCAGAGCCTTATCGTTGGTTGCAATGGTGTCCTGAGCCAACCAGCGCATATAGTGGAACCTTTAATCCCACGTGCATGGCAAACGAGGCACCTTCCTGCCGGTCACAAACGAACAGAGGAGCAAGATTCAAGGTGAATAACAAGATTTCCAGGGTACAAGCTTTCGAGAAACAAAGTAGTAGTAGTGTTGGTTTTATACCCCACTCTTCACTAACCGAAGGAGTCACAGAGCCGTTTACAATCTCCTTCCCTTCCTGTCCCCACAACAGACACCCTGTGAGGTAAGTGGGGCTGAGAGAGTTCAGAGATAACTGCTCTTGAGAGAACAACTCTGAGAGAACTGTGACTGACCCAAGGTCACCCAGCTGGCTGCATATGGAGGAATGGGGAATCAAACCTGGTTCTGCAGATTAGAGTCCGCTGCTCTTAACCACTACACCAAACTGGCTTTCTTGGTCAGACACCTTCATCAGATAAGGAGCTCGAATCTTGCTCTTCTAATTGCACACCAACACGGCTACCCATCTGAAACCAACAGAGGGTCGGGGACAGGCTTTGGCTCAGTGGAAGAGCCTCTGCTTTGCATGCAGAAGGTCCCAGGTTCAATCCTCGGCATCTCCAGTTAAAAGGACGAGGTCGTAGGTGATAGGATGCAAGGGTTGTTGCCAGCTTTCTGTAGCCACAGTGTCCCATTGACCACTAGTATTCCCTCGCTTCCCAGGCATACACTAGAAAAGGAGGATTTTTCTGGGAATCCAGAAACCAAGATGTACACAGATTGCATTCTTCTGATGATGCTGTTTAATGTATGAAATCCCTAAGTCTTTCTTCCTCCTACACAGCTTCTTCACCACTTGACTGGCTTATTTTGTTCATATGGCCTGTACCAATCTTCACATTCACATCTGAGAAGTGTGCTCTGAGAATACGGTTGTTTCATTTTCAGGATGAGAAAAATAAAAGAGACAATATCGCCGGCTCTTATTTTCTTCAAGATGTCTGAGCTTAGCGTCTACCTCCCTTGGGAGCCCATTATCACCTAAGCCATGTTCTCCCAGCAATGACATTCTCTCCCAAAAAAACACTGCGGTGGAAAAGGGAATAAGGGGGAAAAGAAACTACCACATAAATCTCACCTCTTTGGCTTCTCTGGAGAAGGAGATCTAATTGGGTTTAACACCTCCACTGGAATTCCCATTCAGTTTTGTTAAACTTGAGACCAACGTGGTAGAGAGAAACAGGAAACCATTCCAAAAGTGCTTTGGAAATAGGTTGTACGTGTTCAGTACATCCAATGCTCACGGCAGAGAGGAAACACTGCAAGACTATTGACATGCTGCTAATGGAATGAACTTTGTGCCAACTGTTTGGGGGGCCGAATTTTCGGTTTCGTGCTAAAGTGGTAAGCTAGGAGCAGGAGAAAGGTCTGGGACACAGAAAGGTGGGAATGGGTTCCCCTGTAAATGCTCATCTGTTTGGGGGGCATGCAGGTATCTTGTTTCAAGAAAGCACTTCTGTTGCAGTTATTTAGAGCTTAAAATATAACATTTCAATGCTGCTACTGGAATGAACTTCATGCCAACTCTTCAGCGGACCGAATTTTCGGTTTCAGCTAAAGTGCCGACAAGCAGCAGGACAAAGGTCCGGGACACAGAAAGCTGGGAATGGGTTTCCCTTTCAACGCTCAGCTGCTTGGGGGCATGCAGGTATCTTGTTTCAAGAAAGCACTTCTGTTGCAGTTATTTAGAGCTTAAAACATGACATTTTGATGCTGATCAATAACTAGGTTTCTAGGAAAAAGAAAACTGGGCAAGGATTCAAAAGTCAACAACCCTGGCTCCGCCCACCAACTCACTCCCATGTTAAAGACAATGTTTTTTTAACCCCCTCCTCCCCAGCATGGATAGAAGTTCCAGCCTCGGCACAGCTCCCCTTTAGACGATCAGGTCGAGACACAGCTGGATGAACTCACAGGCACACAATGCTGTTTTATCCTGAGTCTGCCCATTGGTCAATATCATTTTGCTTCACCAGCAGGGTGCTTCCAGGGTACCAGGAGGAGGACTTTTGACATAATTTACTACCTGATCCTTTTAACTGGAGACCCTCTGCATGCAACACAGATGTTTTACCACTGAGCCATGGCCCCACTCCATGGTCCTTAAGAACATAAGAGATGCCAATGTTGGATCAGGCCAAAGGCCCATCCAGTCCAACATTCTGTATCACACAGTGGCCAGAAATACCAGTGCCATCAGGAGGTCC